ACCCCAGGAGCACCCTGGGCAGGGACAGGGACCGTCTCCACTCACCCACACACAGGGCACCCCAGGAGCACCCTGGGCAGGGACAGGGACCGTCCCCACTCACCCACACACAGGGCACCCCAGGAGCACAGGGCGGGACAGGGACCGTCTCCCCTCTCCCACACACAGGGCAGCCCAGGAGCACCCTGGGCAGGGACAGGGGCCGTCTCCCCTCTCCCACAGCAGAGGGTCTCGGAGTTCTTGCTCCGTGAGACAATCCTGAAGCTGTTGCTCTCGGCAGCACCTCTGCACCAGGGCACCCGGCCCCGCCTTCCTCCCCATCCACGCTCCCTGAGCCTTGGGTGCCAGTGTCTCCACCCCTCCCAGATCCACTGTCGGGGAAAAGAGGCCAGGAGAGCTCGGCACCGAGAGGCAGAACGCTTCGACGGATGACACACAGCCACAGCCGGCACTGGCCCAGCAGCGCTAGGGTCTGCAGGGGTCCCGCGGGAGGAGACAGGAAGCAGCTCGGCTGTTAGTGACCAAGAAAAGCCAAGCAACCCAGTCAGGCAAGTCTCAGGGCCGCGGGGCCTGGCAGTGCTGTGATGCAGCGAAGACTCTCCCCAGCACTGGTGCAGCGGGACGCATGACGCTAACAAAGCTGGAATCCGCACCCCCAAGGGTCCACCCAGCCTGGATCACATGGTGCGGGGGAATGCCTGTGCCTGGCACCACTGACAGGGCCAGGGTCTGTGGCACCTTCCATCAGTGACCACCAAGGCCTGGAGACCACCCCACCACCCAGCAGGTGAATGGAGAAACAGCTGGCGCTACAGCTTTACAACGGAACACTACGCAGCCATGAAAAATGACCAGCTACAGCCATGCTCACAGCACTCGCGAACTCTGAGTGAGAGAAACAGTGAGATATCACACACGGCACCGTATCACAAACAGCTCACAACAGGCAGACGCAAGCCACGTGACTCGGGACTGTGCTCAGTGGAGGGAGCACAGGGCTGAGCAGGGGAGCCAACTGTCCTGAGAGGCAGGGCTGTGGCGAGGAAAGGCTGCGGGCCTGGGAGCGACACCGGGCCCCTGCCCCTGCCCGGGGCGCCGGCTTCAGCCTCTCTGCCTCGTCGTGTTCTGCTCCTTCCCCGCGGGTCTGCTGCAACAGCAGGTGCACGTGCAGCTCTGATCTGCTTCTCACGAAGACGCGGCCTTGCACGGCGTCTGCCAGCCCAGTAAGTGAACGCTGTGGCGCCTGAGCCATGGGCCACTGC